TTCGCTGCAAACTTTTTTTCAGGGTGCGCCAAAATTTTTCACGGTCAAAGAGCAAAGGCTCTGCCAAAACACTAAACAATACATTCTGTATGGTTCCATTCATACAATGTGATGGAACAGGCAAAACTCAGCTGAGCTGTGGGGAAGAAAAAGGCAGAACAGTTGTCTCTAAGGTAGTTGGATGTGGGGATTCGCTGGGACAGTGCTTGGAAGACTGTCTGGGGTGGTCCGTTCTCTATTTTGATAAGGAGTGGGGATTCACTGATCTATGCAACCGTCACAGCGCATGGTCCAATTAAGATGTGTGCATTTTCATCATGTATAAATATTACCTTTAAAAAAGAACCATAAACATATACTGAACTGAGTTAATGAAGTGTACGCTGAAATGATTTAGGAATGAAGTGTACTTTATGGCTGCAGTAGCTTCCTATTCCCGTCAATAACTTCCTTCATTAAGAATGGAAAGACACTTAATTACAGCTTCACAAATGTCCTTTGCAAGACCTGGCCCCTGCTAATTCTCCAGCCTCCCCAGCTGCCTCCTCCACACCAGGCTCCCTTCGGCGCTGTGACTCAGTCATGCTCTGTCCAGGCACAGGGCCTCCGGACCTGGGATACCACTTGTTCTCATCACCGAGGTAACTTTACACAGATCTTTCAAATCCTCTAGGGTGATGGAGCCTCCCCGTCCTCCCAGCTTAGGTCAGGACATGGCCTTCTTCCCTTTCATTATTCCCACCACAGTTCATTTTCACCCATTCATCAAGTATCCCCAAAATATTTATCCTCCTCGTAGGACTGTCATGGGGACCAGGGCTGGACAGGGCTGCTTTGCTCACAATTGTATTCCCCGCGCCTGGCTTGGTGCCCAGCACATTAACAGCTAGGCGTTCAGGAAGTTTGTTGGGTAAATGACTGAAAGGCATATTAGAATAAGATCTCACTTCTCATGTGAAAGACGGGCAGCTTGAAAGGACTGGCAATACTCAGCATTAGGTGAGAACATGGAGAAACAGGGCATTTGTACTCATGGGTGGTGGAGGTATAAACTGGTATGGTTTGAACTACTTATCGAAATGTTCAATGTTGATACCTGTTGATCCAGCAGTTTCACACCTAGCTATTCATTCTACAAGCATAGGGCACAAATAAATATCTGTATAGCAATGTTCCCAGAAGTTGCTTGAAGTGTTTAAGAGGAGGCTGTAAAACCTAGCGTACACCCATAAGAAGGCTTTCTGTACCATGCGGCCATTACTAGAAATAAGGTTAATCTTGGGGGGAAGGCAGAGACAAATGTATTTGGAAAAATAAATTAATTAATTAAAATTTAAAAAATAAAAAAATAAACCAATTCTATAATAAAAAAGAACATATATTTCAATAAAACAGACAACAAATAAAAACAATTGTTCAGAAAAAAAGGTTAATCTTAATGTACTGACAGGAATAACAAATAGCAGATAGTGAGAAAAACTGTTCGAAAGTATAAAGTATAATCCCATTTTGTTAAAAAAAAATTCTACCTATATAAACACAATTTAAGATATATACATAATGGGATCAGGAAACCAAACTATTAATCAGTATTACCTATGGAGAGTAGGGATGAGCAGTGTGCAGGGACTTTAATTTTTACTTTATCTATTTCTCCAAACTATTCAAACAAGGACGTTTATAATTAAATTTAAAAAATATTTTAAGCTCTGGCCCTGGCTGCTGTGGCTCAATGGATTGAGCGCCAGCCTACAAACCAGGGGGTCGCACGTTCGATTCCGGTCGGGGCACATGCCGGGGGGGGGGGGGGGGGGGGGGGGGCCGTGCCAGGTCCCCAGGTGAAGGCCTGCGGGAAGCAACCAATTGACGTTTCTCTCGCACAGAGATGTTTCTCTCCCACCTTTTCTCCCTCTCTTCCCTTCTTTCTAAAAATAAATAAATAAAATATTTAACAAAAAATATTTTAAACTCCGAATTCTTTGCAGAGCAAGGCCTGAAATAATGCTCATGTTGCTTCTGCTAAACTAAAGCTAAAACCATGGAGTGACTGAAAAGAAAAAACAAAACCCGGCCATCCGAGGACTTGACATCCACGGACCACCCAAGTGTCGGCACAGCATCTTTCCACCTTAGCGGCGAGGTCTCCGGGTAGGAAGATCAGGTAAATGGAGGTGGGTGTAGGAGCCCTGGGGTAGGCATGTCTCCGGAAGGAAGACGGCAGAATTTACTCTGCTTGCCAAGGACATGAGTCTTCCTAGAGGCACTGGCTCTGGGGACAAGTGTCCCCTTCACTTCTTCAACCTATTGGCCAAGATTTTAAGAGCGGGGGTAGAGGTACGTCACAGGGGAGGGAGAAATCCTGGGCTCCTGCCATCCCTTCCCGGCAGAGAAAATGACGTGTCGCCTGTCATCTCAGACGTTCCTTGCACCGAGGACACGGGTCTGGACGCCGGCAGCGCGTGCCCCATGGAGGGTGTCCGGGCGGTGACCTGGCCGAGGGGCGCGGCGGCGGCGAGAGCTGCGGCTCCGAGCCTCCCTCCCGCCTCCCGCTTCTCCGCGTCGGAGGTCAAGGCTGCAAAGTCACGCCCCGGAGCCCGCGGCGCGGCACCGCCCGCGGCAGCTGTTTTCGAAGTCGGGTCCGCACGGGCGTCCCTGATCCGCAGCTTTGGGGCTTTTGGAGGCCTTCCTTAGCCGGAGGGATGTTGATAGTTCCTCCTTTCCCTCCCCACACGTTTAGTAACAGAGCCCGAGCCGGACGGGTGTGCGGGTTTGCGCCTCTGCGTTCAGCCCTCACAGCCACACCCGGAGGCAGGCCGTGCTCGCCCCGTTTTGCACAGAGGAAGCAGCGGCCGGGTGCGAGGAACCTGGCCAAGGTCACCCGCAGTACAAGGGTTTTCTCCCTCCGCATATGCTTCCAAGGGTGAATGTGAATGGGCCTAAGTGCTCCTTTCTTTCCCTCAATGGCCGGCCCGGAGAATACAAATGCGGCCTTTGAGCGCCGGGTAAGGGCCCGGACCTTGCGTTTCAGCGCCCGGCGCGTCCTGTGTCGCAAGCCTTCCCCGGGGGAAGGGACAGGTGCGGCGGCGCGGGGGATCTCGCCTCTGCGTGGAAGTCAGTACTTAAGAAGTAAAAACCCCGAAGCCTCGGAAGCATTACGATCCCCCCCCCGGACCCTCCACGAAGTAACAAGGACAAACGTCCACCTGGCCCTGGCGTTTGCCGCCGCCTCCGGCCAGGCTCGGCTCTGGGAAACGCGAAGCCGAAAGGCGGGGCTCGACCGCGGGACGCGAGTCCCGGCTCTCCTGGCTCGGATCCAGAGTCGGTGCGCCGGCGGAGGGGCTTCTCGGGGCACCCTGGGTAACACCGGCCCGGGCGTTCTGTGCCCCCATCCCGCCAGCGTGGCGCACACGTGGCGGCAACAGTGCCGCGGCCGAAAGCGGGTGGCGGGCTCTCGGCGACGGTTTGGAAACCAAAGGAGTTAAGAGTGCGACCCCCTGAGGGCTGGGGGCGAGTCGAGCGCCGGCCAATGGCTGCGGTGGGCGGGGACGAGACCGGTCTGGGGACTCGCTGGGGCGGCATCCCTTCCCCACCCTCGCCCTCTCCCAGCCTCGCGGCCCCGCCTGCCCGCCGCCCACTTAAACCCCCGCTCAGCCCGCCCGGCCCGCCCGAAGCCTACCTGTCCCGGGCCCGGGCCCGCGCCGCCTTCTCAGGGTCCTGGAGGCGCCCGCTCGGGGGCGCGGCGCTGTCGAAGGTGGGTGCCGGGCCGAGGGCGCCCCCGTGTCCCGCCGCCGTCGTCTGCCGGGGCGGGTGGGAAGTGCAGGCAGTAGTCGCTGCCGCAGTTCGTTTGGGGAAGTCGCTTTACACGCCCGGGCTTTTATTCCTGAAGTATCTCTTAACCTCAAATTGTAGGTCCTTGGGGTGAGGGGAGGCCGGGAGCGGAGCGCCCTGGGCAGCTCAGGGGAGCCGGGCAGATGCCTTCGTCGTGGTTGACCTCTTCGGCTGACCCCGTGTTCTTTAATTTCTGAGTCATGACCCTGCTTGGTTTTCTTATTGGGCTCATTGATCTTGCCCTCAAGACCCGCCGACCCTGAAGAAGCTCCATTCTTCAGCCTTGGTGAACTTGTGTCCATTAAAACGCCATCCTTTCAGACAGCGGCGAGGGAGCCCCTGGGGCCGAGCGCTTCTCCCTCCCACCAACTCTGAGGCCGGTCTCACCTGCTCCCGAAGGGCAACCCCAGGTGGGGTGACCGAGGGACTTGGGAAGTGGCGGGACTCGATCCCTGTGGGGAACCCGGCTCTGGCTTCGGACCTCGAGGGACCCGACGGCGGCGCCTTTTCTGGGCAGCCCGACCGCCTGGGTCCGCGAGGTCAGACCCGGGTTCCGGGAGCGCGTCTCCTGCGAGATGCCGCCCAGGACCCTCGGCTCTTCCCTTCCTGCCGGGGCTCGGGCCCCTGGGGCTGCAGCCTCCCCGAACCCGGGGCCGTCTCGCGCTCGACTCCTGACCCAGCCTCGGGCGTGGGGCGCCCGGCGGCTCCCTGACCCCGTGAAGAGTCTTTTGGGACTCAGAAGAGGGCGGGAGAGGGCTCTTAAAACGGATTTTGCAGGAGCCGGGTTTGGGGCCGGATGGAGAGAATGGGCGTTGGAAACTAACCGCACTTGGTCAAGGTATGTTTGGAGAGGGAAGGCGAAGGCGACCCTCACCTGGAACTTGGAGTCGGGCAGGATCCCGGCAGATTTTCGTTTTTGTTTTTTTGTTTTGTTTTGTTTTTTGTTTTCTTGAGGGGGGCAAGGAGGCGGTTTTTGTTTCTGTTTTTTCTGTGTTTGTTTCGTTCGTGAGATAGGGCTTGCGGGATCGAATTGGGAGCGTACCCGCTGCCCGTTGCCCCCGGGGCCGGCTCAGGCGTGGAGGCCGTGCGGGCAGGAGCAGGGCCGCAGCGCCGCGCGTCCTCACTCCGCCGCGCTTGCTTCTCCGCAGACCCGCCGCGCACCGTGGCCTGGGATGGCTCAGCGGCCGCCAGGTGAGGCCGGACCTTCGGACAAGGTGTGCTATCCGCCCGAGAGGCTCCAGGGCAGCCCCCAACACCTGGCTCCTTACTACACACCTTTCCCACCCTATGGACCGTACGGGAACAGCTCGACCGCCGCGGAGGAGGATTACCAACCTTTCCCTGTCCCTGCCGTGCCTGCTACCCAGGCTATGGCCCCCTTAGCCTTCCGGACCGCGCCTCCCTTGCTGAGCCCGAGCCTGGCGCTACAGAGGGAGCCGCTGTACGATCTGCCCTGGCACGGCAAGCTGCCACCGTGGTACCCATTTCCCCACTTCCCCAAGGACTTGCAACACTTCGTGAACAGCAGCCGCGACTATCCCGGGGTCCCCAGCGAAGACCTGGCTCACATTGGTGGCCGAAGCGACGGTGGCCAATGTTACGGACCTGACATTTTCATTCCGCCGCCGGCAGCCCCTGTGGGTACTTTGCTGTTACCTGAGGGGCTGAAGACCTCCCAGTTAGTACCTTACTTCCCGAGCAAGCAGTCTGAGGATGACTCCAAACTCCCGAACCAGGAGGGGAAGTCTTCTACTCACCGGTACCACTTCACCCAGGAGGACCTGCACTTAGTTCTCTATGGGGTCATTCCCAGCCTGGAGCACACAGCGCGCCTGCACCATGCAGCTTCGGGCCTCGTGGTCCCCACGGACAGCTCTGGTAAAGGCAGTTCACATAATCCCGGGGTTAGGGGGTTATGATGGTTGGGCACCAAGGTGGGACTAGGAGTGGGGAGGGCCACATCTGGCTGCATCTGAGTCCAGGAGGGGTTGCGGGGGGGGGGGCGGGGGGCGGCGGCTGCAGTGGCTGGAACCTGCGGGTGTGAGGCTCACATCTGAGGCCCTACTTGCTTAACTGCGTGACCGCCGAGGTTGGTTGAGGTGAGACCTAAAGGTGAGGAGAGAAATGGTTTGAGCAGTGGGCTTGTCTTCTAGGCTCAGATTCCACCAGGATGTGCGAGGCAGCCCCAGGAGAGCCGCATGCATGTCAGGGAGCCCCAGCTTAGCCTTCTATCTTGACCTTAGTCAAAGTCAGCATTGTCTCTGATTCTCAAGTTTTTTAAATTTGCAAAATAAGGTTCATTACATCATCTTGCAGGGATTGTCCTGTGTCTCAAAGTAGAAATCGTATCTGGGAAAGAAGCAGGAAAAATATAATTATCAAACTCAGGAAAAGGGTTGCCTATAGGGAGGACAGAGGAAATGGACTCCTGAAAGGACTTTGTAATGATTTTAATGAAAAAGAGGATTTTAACTTTGTCTTTTTCAAGGGTCTGAGTGTCTTCCTCAAACTCTGGACCAAGACGCCCTTCAACTACCTGAAGGTAAGCAGAGCTCTTTGCTTGGGTTTCTTTTCTCAGACCAACACAATCAGTTTCCTCATCTGCCTCCCGTTTTGGGGTTCCCCTAGGTCTCTGCCTCAGGCAGATGCTGTTTGGTGAAGTCCCTCATTTTGGTGTCTTCTGCTGTAGCCTCATTGCCAAAGGAGTCAGGTTTGGGCCCTTTCAAGGTAAAGTGGTCAACGCCAGTGAAGTCAAGACCTATGGAGACAATTCTCTGATGTGGGAGGTAAATATGTTTTTGGTGGGGAGGGGTACTGGTAGGGGAACACCTTGGCCTGTGCCCCTCTGAGAGATGGGACAAGGGCAGCCATCCATCCACCTGGTGTGCTGCCTGTTTTGCCCTCTAAAGGGAGGGAAAGCCTCACTCTGTGACCTTGACCAATAGCAGCTCTGCAGGAATCCGAGTGTCTTGTGGTGCCCTAAGTCATTTAAGTCTGAACATGAGCCAGGGCATATACATTTAAAGAACTCATATACTGTGCTGTATATAGATAAAAACAATAGCTTTAAATATGATAGGGTGATTCTGAGATGATGCCAAAGGAAATAAAAGCAAATTCTAAATTTTTTATATCATTTGCCTCTGAAGTTAGCTAAAAACTGAGACTCCTACTCCTGGCTGTGTATGGGTCATGCTGGATGGACTGCAATCTGTCAGAATATATTAACTACCCCCCTTGACCCTGAATGTCCACTTCCAATACTGTAGTTTGGGGAAGTAAGCTGAAATTCTGGCTATGTGGCAGATGTTTATCATAGAGTTGTTTATAATAACAAAACATCGAGACAGTGGAATTGTCAAGAGCAGAAAAAGAATTAAAATATGGCTTCATTAATAAGCATGAAAACTAGGCTGGGATAAAATATAAAACTAATTGGTTGTCTTTAAGTGGTAGAATTGAACCTAACCTCCTTGTTTCCCTTACCTCTGGTTATGAAATTAACATACGCTCACTATAGAAGTTTGGAGATCAAGAAAATGATAAAGTAAAAAAGAAAATTTAAATGTCACAATACCTATAGAGATGTCCTTAAGCTAATAAAGTTACTTAGGCTTAGTACTAAAATGAATAATAAATGTATTTAATGGACTCAAGTATGAGATTTAGGTTATAAATTTTTAACAAACTTATTTCATAGTTTCAACCCCCCCCCAAAAAAAAAAATTCCAACCATCATATCCTATTTCATTTAGATCTTTGAAGATGGTCGCTTGAGCCACTTTATAGATGGAAAAGGAGGTGCAGGGAACTGGATGTCCTACGTCAACTGTGCCCGTTTCCCCAAGGAGCAGAACCTGGTTGCCGTGCAATGTCAAGGGCAGATATTTTATGAGAGCTGCAAGGAGATCTACCAGAACCAAGAGCTCCTTGTGTGGTATGGAGACTGCTATGAAAAGTTTTTGGACATTCCCATGAGCCTTCAGGAGACTGAGCAGGGGAAGCAGGCGCAGGCGTCTGGGCCCTCCGAAGGTGAGTGCACACCTTTGCCTCACCCAGTGAGGCGCTCCTAGTGGAAGGACTGGGCTCTTTTCCAAACAGGAACACCTTCCTGCAGTTTCTTGGCTGGCTGCCGGTGGAGCTCCTCCCTCCCGAAGGCTTAATGCAGGAGACTAAACTGAGGGTGTCTCTAACCAGGAGGGCATTACCCAGCTGGAGGAAAAGGCCCTCGTCTTTCCAAAGCTGCTGAAGCTGCTTCTATTCACAAGGATCCCTTTTCTTGTACCCCTTCACTCCCCACCCAGAGAATACAATAAAAGTGAAATAAATGGATGCAACCTCCGCCCTAGGTGAGCCAGTTTCTGATTCCTCTTCAGACTAACACTGCCCATAAAGTCACTGCCCTAGAGCGGTGTTTTTCAGATGATGGGTTGCAATGTCTTAACTGGGTGAGAAATCAGTTTAGTGGTGGAGATCGGCATTGAAGAAAAAGAAAATAAGAATAAAGTAGGATAGAATATACTGACGTGAATCTCACTAAAAAGTAAGAGCAAGCATTGTGAAATTTTTATTTCAAATGGATATGTGTGTGTACTGGGTCTCAAATAGAAAATGTATGTTTTACTGTGGGTGTCAGTCAAGTCTGACAGGCATTGAGCTAGACTCTGACTCTCAGATTTTACTGTGGCTGTGAATGAATACTTAGGCAATCTTGGGAAGGTGCAGATTCTCATTCTGGCCCTGACTTGAGATTCTGCATTTCTGTCGAGCTTCCAGAGGATGAGGATGCGGATGCGTCTGGTCCCTGGACCACATTTTAGTAGCAAGGAACTAAAAGACCACCATCCCAACATTAAAAAAAAAAAATCCATTGGAGTGATTTTTATATACAAAGAAGCTTGGGAACCACTGGTCTTGTTTGTAGGTGAGACAAGATAAGTACAAGTGACTGTAATATATGTAATCAGGTAGAAGACCACCTCATGTTATAGTAAATGGAGTAAGTAGTAAGTAGCAGGTAAAAGAAAAAGTGAATTGCATTCATCACACACTGAAGTGATTGTCTTGCATGCATGTCTCCATACTAGACTGAGTCCTTCAGGGCAGGAAATAACCCTAAACCTTCATACCTCCTGTTCCTGGATCCCAGTGTGGATTGAATGAAGGAAGAAGACACTTAAGACTCAATTGGGAAAAGCTGCTCAGGGGTAAAATGCAATGCGCAGTGTGTTAGGCAGGGAGAGAAAATGCAGTCCAGGCTGCGGGGGGGGGGGGGGGGGGGGGGGCGGATGGTGAAGCCAAAGACAACAACACGGTCACCAGGGATTAGGAGGTAAATAACGAGAGAGGTGTATCTTTCTAGAATCCAAATAATGAGAGCTGGTCAGAATTGTTCTGGTGAACTATCTTCCTACTATCCCGGTGCAGGGGTGGGGGCGAGATGGTGGGATTCTCTAAAATCTTGGGACTCAGTGTTGTCAAATACTTAGCACCAAGCGAAGCATGACTTTTTGGTCACTTTCAAAAAATGTATCAGTTGGTTTTAAAATAAAAGATAAAAATAGATTTGAGAAATATACATGCGTGATTACTCCCCAAATTTATTAATCTTTTTTGAAAAATTCTTTAACACGATGTATCCAGCTTTTAAAGTGTTTTTAACCTTTGATGTCTCAATAACACTTTTCTGGAAATTTATCTTCAGGCAATAGTCCCCCAAAGGATTTTTTTTTTTAATCTACAAGGATCTTTACGACAGCACCATCCATGTTAGTGGCAAAGCACAATCTCAGTGCTCAATAGTTGATTAATTAAGTCAATGAGGACATAGTAACATGGAATACTATGCAGATAGGAGGGACTCCAAGCTTATAAGCAACAGGGGTGAGGGCTTACGGCGAATGGTAAGTGGGGGGAAGGAGCATCATTGGCTTACCTGTGCTCCAGTCCTGAAGGAAATTATCCGATGCTGATGCCACTGTTAAGATAATGTGTATTTTGGACAGTGTTATGGGAGAGAACTTGGACTTAATTGGTTGGGAAGAATTATGGATGAATTCGTTTGTTTTCTCTTAGGAATGTTTTTGAATAGGGTAAAAAGGACAGAAAAATCAAAATTCCTCTGTCTTCTCATTTTCTCAAAAGGCTTTTGGTGAGGATTGGTAAGACCCTTTCCCTTAAGGTCCTGGGTGGGAGGGAAGGGTCTGGCCCCTATGTGGGCGGGTTATTTGAGTATGCAGCCTGCCCCGTGTGTGTTTTGGGGGCTGGAGGTGTGGAATGTGACAACAACTCCTAATCCTTACAAAACTCTCAGAAATGGGTGGGATAAGAAGCATCAGTTTAGGATTGAGAAACCCCTGGACTGAAGAGTAGTCGACTGAGCTGGAGTCGGGGAAAGGAAGGAAAGGAGAGAGAACAGGATAAAAATAAGTTAAGGCAAATTTCTAGTACCCATAATTTGAATTTTGTGTGTTTTAGTGCTTTAATTTGTAAAGGTCACTGCCCCCATCTTTTAGACCCCCTTTTCCCACCGCAGGAAGTGGAAAGGCCAGGTATTTCAGTCCAAGGAAAATTGTAGCTCTGAGTAAAAACCGGTCCAGCATGAGGATTCGGAGAATATTAGCACCTCAATGGAAGTGGTAGACGTGGGCAGGTGATGGATTGTCCTGGGGTTGACGGTTGCCTTCCTGGTTATTTACTTAATGGTTTATTTCCTTAGCCACGTGTTAAATGTGCTGGGGACATAGTTGTTAACTAACAATGCCCCTGATGGATAGCTTCCCTGCTGTCCTGATGCTAAAAAGATTTCCATCTCCAGATTCTTGCATATACTCACTCCTGGCTCTTTTCTCCCTCCTGGGGGCCAGCCAGTGAGGTCTTGATGCGTGAGCCATCAAAGCCGCTTATCCCCCGGAATCCAGAGTGCCCTCCGTGGAGATTATTTTGTAGGTGGCCCTGTCCTCTACCCCGACCCCCACAACATGTAGATACCCCTGGACCTGGCACCTTTCTTGCTAGAGTCGGTAGCACCCTCTCTAACCTCTCCCCTCCTCCTGCCTCCATTGATAAAAACAATTTACCTTTCTCAGTTTTATTTATCACTCAGTAATAGTATCACTCATGGTAACAACTCAAGTGTTAGAATTCAATTAACCATCATGACAACCCTATGTATTAGAGAGGCAAGATACTGTCATCCTTATTTTGTATGGGAAGATTTTAGCTCTGAAATCTTCCCCCAAAATTCAGAGAAGCAAACTATAATAAGTAAGCTAAGAGAGTGCCTAAGACTTTGTAAATGGGGTCAAGTAGAACAGCACTTGGGAAGCCTGTGGCAAAAGCTCTGGGTGTCCATCGTTGTCCTGGGTGAACTGTTTTTGAACTTGGAGCTCAGGCTGATCTGAAAGGGACAGAGAGCAGGCAAGTTTTGGTTATTAACCGTGTAAGAAGTGCCAGTCAGGATGTGTGAGATTGGTGTGACATATTTATGAACCAAATGATAAATGAGCATTCTGTCATGAAGGTGAGTGATATTAATGAAAACAAAACTGGCTATGAGTTGGATGTTGTCAAAGTTTGACGTTGGGCACATGAGGATTTATTATTTTGACTTTAGTATATGTTTAAAATTTCCTATAAGGAAATGATTTTTAAAACTACCTTGGAGGAAGTAAGAATGAGGTAAGGCAGCTGACAAAGCCACCGCTCTTGTCCCCTGTGTTTGACAGAGTCTGCAGAAGGTTACAGATGTGACCGATGTGGAAAGGTGTTTACCTACAGATATTACAGAGATAAACATCTCAAGTACACCCCCTGTGTGGACAAGGGTGACAGGAAATTCCCCTGCTCTCTCTGCAAACGGTCCTTCGAGAAGCGGGACCGGCTCCGCATCCACATCCTCCACGTTCATGAGAAGCACCGGCCTCACAAGGTGAGAATTTGGCTCTGGTGGCAAATGATCCCACCCATGGCTCAGACCAAAACCCCAGATTCGCTGAGGGCCTCCTGGGCCTGCTCGTTCTAGACGTGCGATTGAGAATGAAGCAAAGAGTGGTCACTATGTTTTTACCTGGTGACCCTTTAGGATTTGTACTGCCAATTTTATTTATTTTTAAATGAAAATATAGTGCGTGCTTCGTAAATACAATATGGAGGGAAAAAAAACCAAAACAAAAGCCATCTGATATGCTATGGCCCAAAGTTAAGACATTTTAAGTATAATTTTCTCAATATGTGTATGTTTTTTAATACACTTAGATCATAATGAATATTATGAGGCTAATTTTCTGACTTAAGATTACATTACAAGCTAATTTGTAAACATATAATGGCTATATCAGTACATCAGATGGTTGCACCATGATTTATTGAACCAATCCCCTGTTTTGTGCATGTCTCCCCAAAATTGCTACAGTGAGCAATAGCACAGAAATGTTTATCTCTGGCCCTGGCCACATAGCTCAGTTGGTTAGACCATAAATGCCAAGACTGCGGGTTCCATCCCTAGTCAGGTCACATACAAGAAGCAATCAATGAATGCATAAATAAGTGAAACAACAAACTGATATTTCTCTCCCTAAAATCAACAAATAAAAATTTTTAAGAAATAATTATTTGTTACCCATTTCTGATTATTTCTTTAGAGTAGATTCCTAAATGTAGAAAAATGGGGTCAAAGAGTATGTACAGTTCTAAGGATCTTGAATTAAGGTGCTAAACTGCTTTCCAGAGAAAGTGTCAATTTACATTCCAGCCAGCTGGGCCTGCAATGTAATGAGCAGCACCAGGTCTCCTACAATAATTTTATCCTTTTTCTGTTGTCATTCTCAGAAATGAAAACTGGTATCTTGTGTGAATTTGTATTTTTATTAATAAGGTTTTTAATTTTTAAACGGTTTTATTGGCAGTTTTGTATTTGTCCTGTGGTTTATCAGTTTCTGTCCTTGGAAAGTATGCATATTTGCTACATGTTTTTGGAATATTTTACAAGCCATATTTTATTAATTCTAGGATTTGGAATTTTCACATTTTTATATTCTGAAATTGAGATATGTTCAACATATGATGGCCAGCTATAGTTTTAACTGTTACCGTTTTCTTTCTTGGTTTTAGTTAGCATGGAAACTAATGGCGGGTATTAAAGTTGATGGGATATAATATAGCATCATTATAATCTCATATTTTAGCATAATATACTAGTCATATTTGTTACAGCTAGATCAAAGGGTATTGTTAAGAGAGTAGAAAGTACAGGACTAGTTCTTTTTTATTTTTTTTTACTAAAGTTGAATTCAGGAAAAGGTTATCAGAGTTATGTCAATAAATTCCTACTAGAATAAAAAATCTCTACTAGGCTGTATGATGGGTCATTTGCCTAAACACTGATGACGGTGGCCCAGGGCTGAGGTTCGAGTCTGGAAGCTATAGGTAGGTACACTGTTTTGGGGACTGTAGACCCGGAGATGGGTAGAAGACAAGAATGATCAGGAATAATTGGAAGCTGGTAAGAAAGCGATAACTTGACCTTCAACGGAGGAGTTGCTTTTCTGGTAGATGGAAGGGATAATAATTTTAAACTGGCAATCAAGGGGTGAGTGAGCCCTGTCATACTCAGTGTTCCCAGGGCTCATCTTTTCACAAGCTCACTCCTTCCTCATGACTCCAATACCACTTAACAATGGGTTTCAAATCTCTAACTAAGAATTCTATCCAGAGCTCAAGGGGTATGTATCTTATGACACTTTGCCCTTGTGTTTAGAATTTTGAAGATTTTGGGGGTTTTTTTCTTATTTTTACTGCTTAACATTTTTTATTTTCTTTTAGTTTTCTTTATTTCACATACGTTAGATTGAATAGTATTTAACTTTTAAAATGATAAAGTATATTTGATTTCCATAGAAGCCCAAAAGATAACATTTAAGTTGAACAGAAGAGAAAGCTCAAGTGAAACAGGCATGTAGAACTTCAGATAAATGATTATTAACAAAAATAATGGTTTCTGAAAGAGGAAAAAATGAATTACAAAAATGTCAGAAGACAGGTGTACAACCAAAAGTGAAAACCCTGCATTACCATCCTACTTCCAGCTTCTAAAACCTAAATGCACTTCCTATTCAGATGAGTCTAGTCAAGCAAAATTTATGTAGAACACAGAATAAAAATGTCAGGAAATTCCTGTAATCTATAACAATGACTACGAAGAGTTCACACATAAATTCAGAATGTTGGTTCTATCCAGCCTTCTGAGACACTTGACCAATGGAGAAAGGGCTTGATTTTTTTCCCCAGAAAACATTATTTCTTATATTCCATAAATTACTCAAATTTAGCAGAACTTTAATTTATTTCATCTTTGACTTTCTTGTAAGCTTTTGGTTTTGCTAGGGTTTCTAATGCAACCTTAGCGTATCAGATGATGTTCTAACCAACTGAGCTGGCCAGTCCGGGTGAAATTTAGTTTCTTAATTGTGTAACTTACATGATGACGTTTACATTCTTCCTAAAGCTTGTTATGATTTGAACCAGTGATTTCTGGGTCTGTGAACTGTCGTTTGGGTATCTTTTTTTTTAATCACCTTCCTGAATTAGTTCTACTGACTGTTCTATTCCACACTTCCTCTTTCTTGATTTCTTGTTTGTATTTACTGGGGCATATCTTCAAGTAACTGCATTTAGACTAAATATTGAAAAGTTTTCTGAGTCCTTCTTTGTCTGAGGATATTTTATTCAAATATCTCTGGTAGTTTGGCTAGATATAGAATTGTAGGTAGAAATGATTTTTCCTTCAGAATATTCAAAGCATTGTTCATTTCTTCTTCTATCATTTGAGGCCAATCTGGCTCTTGTTTCTTTGTAAATAACCAGTTTTCTTCTTTGTAGAAATTGTTCTTTATCTTTGGAGTTCTGAAATTTTAACAGAATATGTCAAGTTGGATGTATTTTTCTTCCTTTTTCTCTTCCTCTTGCTTTGTGCACAGTGATGTACAAAAAAATACTCTATCCATGTGAGGCACAAATCCTAAGCATGAAAGGAATTACTACTTTTTTTGTTGTTCCTGTTTGTTTTTAATTTCCAAGAACAGTTTCTTTTTCTAATTGCTTCTTTTCTATAATTACTTTGTTCTTTTTGCAATAGCGTCTCAAACATCTCTTTTCTTTTTTGCTCCAGCAACAATAATACACACTCATCATTATAATTTTAAGTACTATATAAAAATAATGCAACACCTTTAAAATCCACCTCAATCCCACAATCTAAAAATACCTGCTCTCCCCTCTGTTCACATAAGCATACCTGGGGAGCAAGGCAGACCAGGAAGTATAGCAGTTTCCTCTCCCTGGTTCAGGATTCCTGAGAAGGTCAGGCGGGAGTCTCAAGAGCACAGAGAAGTGGTATGAACTGTTCATGACAGGTGGCTGTACCACATGCTCTCCCTGGACCCCCAAAATCTTACTCTTGTATTGTCTCAGGTCATCTTGCCACCTGTGTTGCCATTTTGGTCTACGTCAGCGATTTTCAAGAAGTGCACTACAAGAATTTTTAAAACATAAAATATCTGACTATTAAGTCAGGGATATTGACCTCTTTTTCCTTAGATTGTCAAATAAAAATATGACAACCACCAACACAACAATAGCCATTCAACGTGGATAAATCAAAATTATACCTTTTTTGTCAGATTAGCAATATATTATTTTTTTTTTGGTGTGCTGCAGATTTTTAATAATTTGTTTATGTGTGCTATAAGATAAAAAAAGGTTGAAAATTTCTGGCCTACATATTCACCATCCCCACTATATTTTTAGCTCCTAATCTCTAGTAGAGTATTACTGAACACATAGTAGGTACTCCATAAATATTTGTTGAGCCCTACCTGGGGTGGCTCAGTGGACTGAGCACCAGCCTGCGAACTGAAAGGTTGCCCAAGCTGTTTTCCCATCAGGGCCTACACCTGGGTTGTGTGCCGGGTCCTTTACTGGGCGAGCGTGAAGGGCAACTGACTAATGTTACTCTCCTTCCTTTTCTCCCCACCTCCTTCCTCTCTCTAAAAATTAATTAAATAAAATTGTTAAAAGAAAACTACTTATTGAACAAATTGTGTAGTGTTTAAAGCAGTTTATTTTGTCCATGGGGGAAATCAGGAAACAGATTCCAAGTTTAACTGACTTGCACTGGTCACATAGCTACTTGTGGGCAAAGCAGGACTAATTCAGGCCTCTATCAAACACCACACCGCTATTTAATCCCACATTTCAACTCAATGCTTTCTTTTTTGCCTTAGTGTTCTACATGTGGGAAATGTTTCTCTCAGTCTTCGAGCCTGAACAAGCACATGAGAGTCCACTCTGGAGACAGACCCTACCAGTGTGTGTATTGTACAAAGGTAAGTGGAACCTCCTTCTAAGGGATCTGTCTTGAGCTCTGTTTTGGTGGCCATGGATAGGAACTTGAAGCATAAAGTCTGGCTTGTAATGAGTTTTTGCTGTCAATCCAATCCCCATTTCCACCCCCAAATATGTTCATGTTTGCTTTTGGTGGTCAGATACAACCCCGCCTGTTGCCCAATTGGCATTTAGGGCATGTGTGATTAGATGGCACTGTCAACTCCCATTACGGAAGCTGGTGAAGAACGACCATGTCTTGGTGTCTACGCAAGGACAGCTTATGCACCTTACTAAGCAGTGACCCAACCTCGCATATGCCCAGGCGCCCCATTATTTCATGCTCCTCTCCCAGTCCCCCAAACCTGAGGTTGCCAGTTTAAATCTCACTTTTTATGTCACTGTCAGTAGACCCAAAAAAGAGTCATTGCATTTACTACCTGAAAGTGACTAAGGTTCAGAGCATATTATTGATATGAATGAGGAGAAAGGTTCTAAGAAAGGGAAAGAAAATAATGGGACAAGAAAAGATAGGTAAAAACAGAAAAGTATTTGGGAATCTAAAGTGTTATAGCTACTCTACAGATCAGTTGGACTTTTTTTTTTAATTAAACTTATAACTACCACATGACCCAGCAACCCAGATGTCCTCCGTAGGGTAAGTGGTAAGACAGACCATGGTACTTGCACACCATGGAGTACCACTCGGCAATAAAAATGGGAATGACCTGTATACACAGCCTGGGTAAATCACCAGAGAATTATGCCAAATTGGAAAAACCATTATCAAAGGTTACATACTATATGATTCTGTAGATAACATTCTGAAATGATAAAAATTATGGAAATGGAGGAGAGATTAGTGGTTGCCACAGCTGAAGACAAAAAATGGGAGTAAGCCCTGCCCAGCATGGCTCAGTTGGTTGGAGTGTCCTGTAACTGAAGGGTTTGGGTTCAATTCCCGGTCAGGGCACAGTCCTATGTTTTGAGTTCAATCCAAGGGCCGGGAGTGCACAAGAGGCAACCAGTTGGTTCTCTTCTTTCACATTGAGGATTACCTCCCTCTTTCTAAAAGCAATGAAAGAAAGTGTCCTCAGGGAAGATTAAAAAATAAAAATTTTTTAAAATGGGAGTGGGAGGGACTAGTTGTGTCTATCAAAGGGCAACGTGAAGGATATTTATGATGAAAATGTTTTGTATCTTAACTATATCAACATCAATGTCCCAGTTGTGATATTATAGTTTGTAAGATGTAACCCTTGGGAAATTGGGTAAAAGGTACACAGAAACAAAGACATTGGCCAGTATTAGCTACTCCTTGTGTAATGCAGTTTATCTTTGAGTGTGGTCCTAGGACCTTCTACATCAAAATTGCTTATTTAAATGCAGGTTCCTTATTACCACAAAGAGTGTACTTAACTGGGTCCATTCTATGTGCTAAAGCTGTCAAGCTGCAATTTTAACTAGACCCCAGGTGACCTTAAACGCTGAAAAGCCACTGTTCCAACAGCCTGGGCTACTCAAAACCAGCCAGAAAGACACATCCGTCATGTCCTTTTATATAAAGGTTACTCTTGTTGACCAACAGTACTCAATAGCATTAATACACAAGGATCCTCAACTGGACAACTATGGGGTGACATGTGCATCAGTGATAATGAAATTAAACCCTTTGTTTAATTGGTCTCCTGGCCGATGGAAATTTACTTTCTCTTCTGCTTTCTGTTCTCTGCAGAAGTTCACTGCCTCCAGCATACTCCGCACACATATCAGGCAGCACTCCGGGGAGAAGCCCTTCAAATGCAAACACTGTGGCAAGTCATTTGCATCCCACGCTGCCCACGACAGCCATGTCCGCCGTTCACATAAGGAGGACCAGGGCTGCTCTTGTAGCATCTGTGGGAAAACCTTCCCAGACCAAGAAGCCTTCTGTTCCCACATGAAGATTCATGAAGACGGCTAGCCCTCGGGGTTTGGGGACAGTGTGAAAACTAAGACTTTGGATTCTGTCTTTGTTTTTCTTGTTTATTTGTGTGTTGTGTGAACAACTAACTGATAGTTCCATTGAGATAAACTGAAAAATGGAGCTGACCAATTAGCTGAGTTGACCAGGTTTATCAACTATGGTTTTAATAGCTTTTGCAAAAATGTTTTTCATAATTTCCAGGAAGAATGAAATTTTGGTGAATTTACCTTGAAATAGGAAAAGCTGGCTGTTAATAGTTATAAGTTGTTAAGTATCTGGAAACTCAAAAACCCTGAGAGAGGAGGGACTACATTGAATTTCTAGGATGAAAACAAGGAAGACTCTTTACTGTATGCCTTGGCCATCTATCTATAATATGTCTGTGGCCATCACCTGTTAATGTTTCTTCCTAGAATAAATTCTTTAAAAACTCACTCAAGCCAAGGCATCATTAGTATTGTAACTAAGTGTTCACATGAGTTAATCTTTCGTCTTTATTTGGATTCTTTTTAAACCCTCAGTTCCAACCCTCCCCCATCACGTGGCAAAGCCTGTTAATAATTTGGTTAGCCCCGCACAGAGTTACTCAGAGGACACGGAAGTTACTTATTCACTCACCATCTGTGGCCTTTACCAATTGGAAAAGAAAAATTATTACCGAACAAAGAGACTAAAAAACAAATGTATTTATGTTGCTCTAGTTTTAAGCTTGATTTCATTCCTGTTGAATAGACAAATGGAATTTTTGAGATCTTTTTTAATTAGCTGGTTCATGATAGTATAGAGAGTACAAAAAAAAGAAACCCATTTTTTAAAATGTACCATATATAAGTTATTACAAGGCTGATGTAAGTACATGGAGAATAATCTCTTCTACGTACAAGGAGACAGTGGACTCATCTCGTGGGTAGGAATAGCCAACATTTATTGAGTGTTAACTCTGAGTTCGCCACTATACAAATGAAGAAATTGAGTCCAAGAATAAGGAACTGGTGCCTCTAAGGGGCAAAGCCAGGCCCACCTGACTCTACAGCCCAGCATCTGACCTAGCCAGTATGCTCAATTTATGAATCCTGCTAAAGAACTAGAAATAGCGTTTTTCTACTAACTATCCCATTCTGCCCTGTATGAAGGCAAGTAACAACAAACTTAGATACTTACAAAGAAAACCAGAATAAAACTGCTTGGTAGGCTGCCTAGCTACTAGATCACATGGTTCTATTGATGACCTCGGATTTTTCTTCACCCTTTATCCACGGTCCATGTCTCAAAATGGAGCAAATTCAATATGGAACAGATGCCCCTTCTAGAGGGAGGCTCCCAGCTGTGGCCCAGTCCTTTGAGACAGACCAAGTGCTGGAGCGCGTGTGGAAAAGCAGTGACAGATTTTCCTCTAGGGAATGCTTAGCTGTGGTGCCTGGGTCTGAGTCATTTATCCTAATGGGAATGTGCCCTGTTGTGTTAGGGCTGTTTTAGTTCGCGTTAATTAAGTCAGAACGACGGTCTGGAAAAGAATTGGGGCTCATCTTGTAATGAGGCAGCCTTTCTTTGACTGCTAGTTCAAAATGCATTTCTTACTGTTTATGGGTTTGAATGTTGTTTTAAAATCAAACAGTAAAGCAAGACACCAGGAACTGGTGTGATGCCAATTTTTTCACTAAGCGAATGAATAACTGCTTTTTGTGCTTTGAACCAGAATAATAGCAAAGGTTTTTTGCTTCTTGTTTTTCTAACAGTCACTGTAAAATGCACGCATGTGAAATAATACTTAATGAGGATCATGCGTGTCCACACTAAGTGAAAACTATAGACAGTTTAATAAGCTTTAGTCATTGATCTGGTTACATTTATCAATTTTTGGTTGGAAAATACAATCAATTCATAACATCTTTAGTAATTACCTTAAGCTCTCTTATGTTCGTTTAAAATGTGTATTTTGCCTATTTCTAAACATAATTTGGACCAACTTAAAACAATAATACAAAGTTGACTAAGACAAAGTAGAAGATACACTGCCACAAAGAGAGTAGAATGAGTTAATACAATTATGCTAATTATAATAAATTGATGGAACATAATAAATAAAATAAAAATTTCAGTGTTGGACAGACTTGTCTTTGTCCACTGTGTCTGCATGGTATAATGTTGGGCAACTCATTTAATTGCTGAGGCCTAACAGCCTACCATCCTCATTCATAAAATAATTATTTTGTTACAGGGTGTTGTGAAAATTAAATAAAGTGAAATGACTTGTATTCTGGATGATACTTACTAAATCTGTTTCCTTTCTCTTAACAGCCAAGGGAGACAGAATTATGCAACTTTTATTATTGATCCATATGCTTTCCTTCAATGGTTCTCCAAAATGTGGTTTCTGGAGCAGCAGCATAGCATCACTGGGGAACTCGCGAGAAAGGCCCGACTGAGCATCTACTGAATCAAAAATTCTGGATGTGGGGTTCAGCAATCCGTATTTAAGTTTAAAACCATCTCTTTACTTGATTGATCCTCCCAGTCCCTGCAGGGCAGTGGGTAAAACTGAGTAGCTAAGGTGACTTGGCAGAATCACAAAGCTGTTCAATTGGGAGAAACCAGTGGGATGCAGATTACGGGTAGTGCTCTCCTGGGGACTAATGGGTACCAGCAGAACTCGGACATCATTTTATTGTTGGAAATGTGGAACTGCAGCTGCCAGCCTGGTCAGTCAAATTTAGAGACCACCTTCAATGAATAAATGTCTTTGCTCATCTTCCTTTCCCTACCCGAGTCTATGTCTGATGATATATATATCACCTATTGATTTCATTAGGTAAAAAATATATACAAGAAGGGATATCAGAACCCTGGAAGAATAACTAGTCTTAGTGGCATCCATGACATTGATGAAGCTCTTTATGGACCCTTATGGTATCCTAGGACTTGCAGAAGTTGGAATGAACAAAGAAAGCTATAGAAGCAGACAGATGCTTGGGTCCTCTGTGGGTCCAGCAGTAGGCTCAGCATTGTGGCCATAAGGTCCTTGCTCACTTAGTAACTACAGTGCAGGCAGGATGGACTTGCAAGGAATTGCCACTTACAATGTGACAGAGATAAAATCTCAAATACTGTCCCAGACTATTATTGCTGGGTCTGATTTTGACGTGACAGGTTACACAGTGTTTCTTTCGGTCATGGAGGATATAAGTGCTTCCAGCACACCCTGTGACTTCCAGGGCTGTAATTTCACTGCATTGTTTTTTTAATGGACCCTACCCCACTGCAGGAGAACAAATGTATATAAGTGAATTTTTTTCAATAGACATATTTAACTAGAATATCACGTCACAACACTTTTGTTGACATGTTGAAAATAGAATAACTAAATTATTTTTGGAAGAAAAATAGTGTGAAGAATAATATAAATAGAAATTTACCCCTCATTGATAATCTTCATAAAATATGGGAACCACAGAAAATTATATAATTAACATTATTATAAGAGGTATATATTCAGCTTCCATTTATGTTGCAAAGAATTTTCATTACTTTGTTGGCTTAAAGTAACTAATAAAATCAAAATATTTTGAAGTGGGATAGCCAGCCATAATCACAGCTAAGATGGAGAATAGTTGAGGAGATTATGGTTTTACTTGTGCAAATGGTCTCAGGAGAAAATATTTTTTTCACTGTCGTTCATCTTACATTTTCTTAGGATTTTTGTAATCATATATTAAAAAGTGGATAAACTGTGGTTTGTGAAATTTGTTTTGGATTTAGTACTTTGTGTTGAAAACAGTTTGCTATCAAGAAAATATATCAAAGGGACTTAAATTCTGCTCTTAATTTTTATAAAATGTTTTAAAATGCTGTGTTCTTCCATTTACTTCCATGATGTGTTCTATTTGACATTTATAGCTCTATTTCGATTATTTTTAAAATGCCAATGAAAATATTAGGTAAGATTTTAGGGCCATATATGTGATTTTTTTCCCCATTCTTAGCCAATTGAATGCAGCAAGACAACTGAGGCCAAACACAGTCCACAACTCACTTGAGCTTGTTTTTAACAAGAGGATATTTTTGAAAAGGCGATCTCCACCTCTGATTCTTTCAAGACGGAGCACTGGAAGGTGGGCGGAGTCCTCTTGGAGAATTCCACTCTCCTGGGTTGTTAGCTAATTTAAAGGTGCCAGAGCCAAAATCTCTTAAATTTGATTTTGAAACTCCTCCACCAAGGATGAGCAGGGTGTCTTCCAAGGCAACAGCTGTTGTTCCAGGTTCTTGCTCAGAGGGGGGCTGCCATATAAGCCCCTTTAGCTACAGAGCTCGCTGGGCAAGTTAAAGGCAGATGTAACTCAGCAGAAAGGCCCTGAAATTTTCAGGGTGACTAGGAGCTTAGGGCTGGGCGGCCAAGAGCCTGTGGAATGGGATTCCAGTCTTTTCCTTTTGCCAAAGGGGAGGACAATGCTGAAGATCACCCTCAGATTCAAAAGCCGAAACTCCTTGGGCTATCCACAGCCCTGGGAGCCTGGGGGTCCCCACGAGTGGTCGGATTTGAGAGGGAGAAGAATAAAAATGAAAAGACTGCTGTTTTTAATCTAAATTACTTGAATAACAAATACAAACTGTCCAGAGACACTAAAAATTGGGGAGGGGGGTATGAATTAATTACAGAAATACTTCAGTGCAGACTAGAGAAATTCCCACAACCCAAAATGCACTTCAGGTGTACAATGAGAAGAGTGGGTTTGTGGTTACAGCTGTTTACCTATTCGGCCTCTGAGGTGATGCCGGGGCCCCTAACTTTCCAATAATAGATGGCACAGTGCCAGATCCAGGAGCCATGTTTTGAAAGATACAACCAGCCATTCATTTTAAGTTTGATATTTGAACCCCAGATAGAAGAGGCTTGTTGGTAGTAAAGGATCCCTAACAAGCTACAACCCAAGTTTCTCAAACTTGCCTAAGGATGAGAATCCCCTGAAATGCCTATAAAACCTCAGGTCCCCAGGACGCCC